GAAGATGGGGAAGGGGCTGCTAGCAAGGAAGGCAGGCGGCCTCCCGGAGGTGGAAAACGCAAGGGAACGGATTCCCCCTGCAGCCTCCAGGAAGGAACGCGGCTCTGCTGACACCCGATTGTAGCCCCGTGAAACCGGGTCACCGTCATGACCTCCAGAATTATAAGGTAATAAGCGTGTGTTGTTGTAAGCCACTAAGTTTGTGATGGTTGTTACAGCAGCCAGAGGAAACTCATACCCACCTTGGTACTGGGGAGTGGGGGAAGCACTAACAAATACCTAAATATATGGAATGGCTTTGGCATTGGGCGCGGGGGAAGAGGCTGGGAGAGTTTTGAGGAGTGTGATAGAAAAAGCCTAGATTGCCTTGAACAGACTATTAATAAAGATATGAATGTCGATAGTTCACTGTTGACTGGGTGGCCAGGCTGTGCAGCCAAGTTAAAGGGCAGGACAGTGCCACCTCGGGGAGAGACCAGTGTATGATTCAAGGTCACTGAGAACGGACAGTTCACACACCTGGCTCTAGTGGTGCAGCACGGACTTCCAGCAAAAGAGGAGAGAGAGCCCTAGCCTGTGGCTCAGCTGGTTGGAGCCGTGTCCTGTGCACTGAAAGGCTGCCGGTTCGATTCCCAGTCAGGGCACATGCCCAATTTGCGGGCTCCATCCCCAGGAGAAGGCGTACAGGAGGCAGCTGATCAATGATTCTCTCTCATCATTGATGTTTCTATCTCTCCCGCTCCCTTCCACTCTCTGAAATCAATAAGAACATATTTTTAAAAAGGAGAGAGGGCCTGCACGGAGCCTGTCCCTTGCAGTGTGTGGGTCCCCCGCTGTGCAGCTGTGGCGGGCGGGCGGTGTGGCTGCACGCACTGTGAAGGGACCCTGCCTCCCCCCAGGGGGCCTGAAGAGCAGAAGGCTGGGTGTGCCTGAGGCCCTCGCCTCACTTGCTTGAAGCAGAGCCCAGGAGCACATTGTCCCAGCCCAGGGCCCATTCTTCTGTGACAAAGCCAGCAGGGCGAGGGACACATGCCTTTCTTTCCTAACAGCCACTCCGCTGGCCGGGCCCCAGAAGCAACGAGGGGCACCGCAGAGACCACATAGCACTTTGGAACAGCGACGTAAACCCGTGCGCCCCGAGAATCCTTCAGACGTGCGATAGCTGACTATTTAGTCAGGGGCGCGGACCTCTCCCTTAGACCGTCAAATAACAAAATGCCAACAGCCAACACAACAAGAGCCATCCAGTGGGAACGAATCAAAGTTATACAAAAAAGACGTCAGAACGGCAAAACAACTGTATGGTGTGTGCAGAATGTTAGTAATTGGTTTCTGTGTGCCAGGCAATGAAAAGGTGGAACACCCTGCTTTAGAGAACCCCTAACTGTCAGGAGCAGATGGGTGGGAGCAATAAGGACCTCGCATTCTTTCACCGTGTGCTGCGCCCTCGGGCTGCCACCCACATGCCAACACATGGTGCCCAGGGCCCTGGTACGTCTCGCTTTGGTGACTTCGTGTAACGTTCATAACGTGCTGCCACATTCTTACGTAATTTTCATTATGATCCTTTGACCATTATTCATATCCTTTGATCATAATTTCCTAATTAGCCTGTGATCGTTATTCAGTCGCTCCCTACTTCGTTTTTTCTCAGTAGAGGTAATTCTGAAATGAACACCTTTGTTGAATATGTTATTGACTTGTTTAATGCCGGTAGGTGTACTTAGGAATAATTACGTTGTCCGCCTGTAAAAGTATTTTATTTGTTCTTTCCTCCAAATGGACAATTAGTCCACGTGGGTGAGAGGAAGCACAAAGAACTAACAGGAGACGCGGCTGAGACCCAGGCAGACTCCCAGTTCTGCTCACCGCTAGGGAGGGACCAGTGGCAGGCACCCCTGTGGTACCTTGGTGGAGGCAAAGACAAAATCCATGCTTGTGTGAAACTTATCTTATCAGACACCCAAGGAAAGTGCGCTCTGGGGAAAGTGGGCAGGGTCCAGAGGCCAAAGGGCAATCGGGCCACCCAGGCCCCGCGGCGAATCGGCAGGTGCGGAACAGACCCGGGTGTCGCTCCGAGGCAGAGCGCACCCACTTCTCACCTGAGCGGCATGGAGGTGCCCAGCCCACCCCGGGAGGGGGTAAGTGCCAGGCTAGGAGAGGCCCCTGTCACTGTCCCTTTCCCACCAGAAGAGGGGACCCGTGGAGGGAGGGGCGGCTTCTGAAACGCCTACAGCGGTAAGGACAGCACCGGGGATCAGTCAGCTGAATCCCGCACCCCACCCTTCTCCGCAGGCTGGATCCCAGGCCAGCAGGGCTGAGGTCTGCGGGCAGTCACGCAGCTGATGGTGGGGTGGAGTTAGGGGCGCAGTTAGCAGGCAAGCCGAGGGTGGAGCGTGGCCCAGGGCGGTGGCTCTGGACCGCTGGTCGCCTGGAGTCCCGGGAAGCACCGCCTCAGGCAGCCGCAGACCTGTCCCAAGTCTGCGCCCCCCGGGCTCTGGGGCAGTTCCCCGGAGCTGCCCTGGGTTCTGAGGTGGCCAGGGAAGTGGGATGTGGTGGCCCCGAGTGAAGGACAAGCCTCAGGCCCTCCAGCCCTCTGTCCCTGGCTCCCTCCACCTGGACACTCCTCCCCCAGGCCCAGAGCTCAGCCACTCAGGGCTCAGCTCCCAGGCCCTCCTCAGAGGCCATCCCTGCACCCTGCTGAACACGCCCCCACCCCACCCCCCCGGCTTCTCCCCTGTTACCCTGTTGGTCCTCATAGCATTATTGGTACTTGGTGTCTGTACATCCTTTTTCTATTCGCCCCCCCCCCCTTCCCTAGAATGTAAACTCCAGGAGGCCAGCGGATGCTGAACCTTTTTCCCAGAGCCTCCCCCCACTCCATCCCGGGCCAGCACGTGGTGGAGGCTCAGCTTTGTCTTTAGGGAGGGAATGACTGTGTGCCAGGAACAGGAAACCATGCCATCCACGGCGCCCCCCACGTCTCAGAGCCCTGAGACCCCACCCCCAGCCAGCCACCGCCCCACCTTCCCTGGGCGGGTCCTGGGGTCCCCGACACCTGGCCCAGCTGGTGGAGCCCACTTCTCGGGTCATGGACCTCATCTCTGCCTCATCTCTGCAGAGGCTGCAGCCCACGCTGGTGCTGGCCACCCTGAGCGCGGGCTTCGGCTCGGCCTTCCAGTACGGCTACAACATCGCCGTGGTCAACACGCCGCACAAGGTGGGCGCCGGGCACTGGGGCTGCTGCCCGCTCCAAGTTCGCTCACGAGTTGCCCAATCTTCTTGGCTACCGTGGGGCAATGTCTTCCAGGTCTTGAAGTCATTTTATAACGACACCTACTACGCGCGACACGGGACGTCCATGGACGAGAAGCACATGCTGCTCCTGTGGTCCTGCACCGTGTCCATGTTCCCCCTGGGCGGCCTGCTGGGCTCGCTGATGGTCGGCGGGCTGGTGGACAAGTGTGGCCGGTGAGCGGAGGGCGCGGTTCTCACTCGTGGGTCACGGGGGAAACCACGCTGTCTCTGGGTGGCCTGCACAAGGTGGGGGCTTGATGTGACCTTGAAAAGCCTCGTCCCCATGGTGCCACAGACCTTATGCCCTGAAGCCAGTCCCTGAGGTTCCGGGACCCCTTCCCTTGTCCTTGCAGGGGAGCAGCAGCCCCTCTGTCCCCAACCCCGAGGGCGAGGTACCGCCCTTGAGAGCAAAGTTCTGGATGCGACGCCCCTTGGTGCCGTGTCAGCACCTGCAGCAGGTGCTCCGTAAGTGCTTGCCAATCGGGTCTGATGCGTGGCCAGGTGACCCGAGGTTCCAGGTGTGACAGCTGCAGCCTCGCCCCGTGGCCTCACCTGGGCTGCTGTTCTGAGGTTGGGGCTCAGACTGAGTCACTCCACGTGCCTGTCCCGTGTCTTTGAGATGCACAGTGGCTCTTTGTCCTTTGCTGGGCTTGCCCGGGCTCCCTCATCTGGGTGCCTAAGCCCAGGAGCTGCAAAGAGGTGCCTCCCCAGATAAGGCAGGTGCCCAGGTCAAGGTCCCCAGGGAGGGAGAGTGAGCCAAGGCCTCGGGGTGAGGCACCGGAATGCCTTCTGGCCACATCCCACTCGGAGGAATTCGCAATGACACTTGGACTCGATATGCCGAGACCAGCAGTTTTGGGGTGTGCGTGGAGAACCTTCTAAAGTAAAGAACTTTTAAAGAACTGTAGCCCTTCAGTTCCCACACATGGGAGAAAATATCGGCGACTGAAAACCAGCTATGCGTTACAGCGGGACCCATAGGACCCCTTCTTCTAGGTTCTTGATTGGCACTTGCCATGTGTCAGGCACGTGAATGAGGAAACGTTCAGTATGTTGTCCTTATGCCATAACCCAGGCTGTTGTGTAATCCAGACTGCGCTGTTCTCAGCTACACCAGTGGCTGGACTGTTCTAGAAGCCCAGGCTTGGCCTCCTCACCTGGACCCCCCGTCACAGAACCTGGGAGCCCAGTGATGGTCTCCTCGCCCCCTCACCTTGCAGACGAGGACACAGACCGCTCTGGTGGAGCTGGCCTTGTCCCAGTGGGTCCCCAACCGCCCTGAGCAGGAGGGGCTGGGGGAGGCCAGGCAGGGGGGGCTGTCCTCTCCGGCCTCGGGGTGGCTGATCCTCGGCTCTCAGTCTGGGCCCCGAGGGTAGCTTTCTCAGAGGAACAGCCGCCCCAGAGAGAAAAGGGGCCTGAGAAACCATCCCATACACCTGGGTGTCTAGCGCTGCCTCGTCGGGGATTTCCACGGGACTCTGTGCTACCCCTCCAGAGGGGTTTCTGTTTAAAGATCCCCCCAAACTCCTGGCAATGTCCTCAAAGTCCCAATGGTCCTCAAAGGCGGGCAGAGTGTGGGCAAATGTCAAAGGCGGGTGCAGCCAGCAGCCACCCCACAGCCGGGACCTCTCTTCCTTCCTCATCCTCCATTGGTGTCTCCTTTGGCAAAGCCCAACCCAGGTTGGGGGTGCGGGCTGTCAAGGGAGCCATTGATGGAAGCCATCAAAGGGCACAGAGCACAGTCTGGAAGGGAGGGATGGTCCTGGGGGGCAGGGCAGCATAGTCCCTTTTTCTAGACGCCCCCTCCCTCTGGTTCATCGACTCCTGGGCTGGCAGCCTTGTCAGGGATCTGAGAGATGCTCTAGTCCAGTGGTTCTCAACCTGTGGGTCGAGACCCCTTTGGGGGTCGAATGACCCTTTCACAGGGGTCGCCTAAGACCATCGGAAAACACATATATAATTACATATTGTTTTTGTGATTAATCACTATGCTTTAATTATGTTCAATTTGTGACAATGAAATTGGGGGTCACCACAACATGAGGAACTGTATTGAAGGGTCACGGCATTAGGAAGGTTGAGAACCGCTGCTCTAGTCTAACCCGGTGTCCCGCCTGTTGTGGGAATCCCCTGTTCTGCATTCCTGAGGGTCCTCATCTAGTCTAGTCTCTGCCTGAATGCCACCAGGGACAGGAAGCTCCCTGCCGGAGGCTGCAGGCACTCCTCCTACCTTCTCTGCTGTCCACAGTCAGCTCCGGCTGTTAGCACCCCCACCCGCCCCTGCTGGCCCCAGACCTTCCTTCCTGGGACTTGTGTCTCGGTCCCAGCTTCTCCGTC